TGGCATATGATGAAGTCGTCGGATCACCATCGCATACATAGCTCATGCGCTAAGCACATTCAATCTGGAGGTTGTAGCAGTCTCTGGGGGTTAGCCACCAGTTTAATGGTTCAATAGCACCTGCTGTTATTGCTTGGGGTAGGTAAGGTAGGCATTGTCCTCCCCAAGTCCCAGCCCTATCCATGCCCGCCTGGTTGGTTCCATTCTACCTACTACCTCTATCTTTGGCTGAGACATTGCTCGGGTTGTGGAGACCAACAAGGCATGTTTACATACATTTTCTATAGCTGTTGGAGTTTCTCCATCTGTCCAAAGGAGCCTGGAATGCACCCGACCTTGGCTATATTCATTCCCGAACGAACGGGTGCTGATGAATTCACTTCATGGACGTTGACCCGCGGACCTCGTTACATCACTCTGAGTTAAGGCACGACGAGTCCGTGGCTTACTTGACTTTGACAGGCAAACATGTTCTGACGCTGACGCAGACGCACGCGGCCTACTTGTCCTGCCGTGCGTGTTTAGCATGCAAGGGCGATTTTGGAGGCTCGGGGCAAAGCGCCCGCGGATGTCTGGTAACGAATCGGAGATATTCATTGCGTCCCAGAAATCTGGCAGAACCAGACACACGGCGCGCATGCAAAGTTGACGGATGACATGATCTTTTGACCTTACACGCGCGCGTTGTTGGTTCTTGGTTGGATTTCCCTTTGCATAATATTTTAAAAGAAGTAAAAATAAATAACACTTGCAAGCCGTTTGCAAGTGTCGCATTTACCGTCCCAACCAAACCGTTTGCCGTTATAGGAATTTGGTGCTGTTTTTTTTTTTTTATATAATTATGGCTGCAAATCTGGGATAGCCCAGCTAACAGGCAACTCCAAATTGGAACCAACTGCAGCCAGGGTCTGTTCATATTGCATTGCAGGTCACACCACACCACTCTTGTTGTAGTGTTTGTGCATGGGAAGAGATTAAACCAGGCGTTATGTCATGTTCATATCATAACCTGTGTTTGAAAATAGCATCATTACCATGCATTAACGAAATGAACCAACGCGCTTAACGTCAAGTCTGCCGTTGCCAATTCACCTAGGTCTGGGCCAGGGTGGTTGTCAGCAGGGGAGGTATTCGGTGCCGGCCACTGTGAGTAATTTGAACGCTGCAACATTGCCGTGTCGGGCCTGGGCAAAAACAACAACAAGCCAAATATTACGTATGAATCGAATCGAATCGGCACCGACATGTGCTGCATGTAGATCGTATCCGGACTGACGATAGAGACAGACTGACTCCTTTGAACCTTTTTCACAGCAATCAGCAATTGTACCTTGCGTTTTATCAATCTGCTCCACCCCCAAGGGTCCTGCCGCTGAGCGTTATTCTTGACCCCATATGCCTACATTTAGTGATGGTTTGTTGGTGGAGACAACCCATCGAACTCTACACTAGTCTTGTCTAAAGGGACCGAAAGGTCTTTTTTTTTTTTGCGCCAAAAAAGACACTGCATACCTAGTCGCCCAGCAAGTGCCAAATAGGTGTCCATCCATCTAACGAAGGTTTTGGACTGCTGGGGGAGGCATGCTTCTATTTCTGTCCCCTTGATTAAGTTTCGGGCCTCATCCTTCGGTGGCTCAGTGCTCAGGAACCCGTCTTTTTTCGCGGTCGTGACTACAATTCGGCCTGCTCTCATCATCCAACTGGGGATTGGATTTTCCCTGATTAACATACAACAGATCATCAGGAGCCAGGGTGTTGGCTGGTTGGTCGATATTTTCATAATCAAATATAGCCCCCGACAAAATGAAGATAGAAGAAGGAATCAAGGGAGAGGAAGCGGCAGAGAAAGATGAAAAAGATAATAAGTGTATGTTGCTGTTATGTAATGTGCAGCACAGTAGCATAGAGTTGTCCCGGCAGCACGGAATGGTCTGTCTGCATTGCCTTAGGTACGCAGTCTGTGTTCCGGCTTACATGCAGCGTACCACCTGTCAGTGGAAAATTGACGTGCTGACTACAAGTGCTATTTTCTTTACAGTTCTCTCGGGAACCACGACGCCGGTAAGAGACAAGAAGAATCTGCATTAGCAACGGACAAGGCTTAGCATTAGCAGCATAGCTGGCTCACGGATGATCCAGATCAAGAGGGATCCTGCTTGACAATCATCGTCTGCTCTGGGTAGGTTGTTGTCTCGATTGCTTGCTGCATGTAGGTAAAATAACGCCATATTGTGATAGAAAGAACCCAGGTAGACAATTGTAATAGGTTGGATACGTAGCGTAGGTAGCCTGGCAACTGCTTTGCACGCATGGTTAGTCAACATCAGGAAAGCACCAAGTTGCATTATGGATAACCGCAAAGAGGCAAAAGAACGCCTGTCTCTACCATAGTACACTCAGGGAGCCCTTGGGTCAGGCCGTCGGATCACAACCATATGCGAGCTGGCCAATCACAAGAGTCGTCGCTCGTGTGCCTGTTCCATGGCACGGGGTCTCTCCAAGCCATGCCCATGGTGATAAAAACGGGAACAGCCTGGGGGGCGTTGTTCATCGCACATGGCTAGGTAACTGCTGTCTGGCGGGCTTATGGGGTCGACCCAGGGTGTTTAGACCAGGTTGTGGCCGCAGCTTCTGGCGGCCAATGTATCCGCCCTCTCCGGTGTACCCAAAGCACCCACTGCACTGCACCTCTTTTTTCTCTCTCTCTCTCTCTCTTCTCTTCGCTGGCCCCTCATTCAACTTCCATCCTCTTTTGGTTTTTTTGGTCGCTCAACTTCTGGCTGTCATATCGTTGCGAAATTGACCAACCCCCTGACGTCTACAAGCGCCTTTTTGCAGGGGGTTTGTCGACTTAGCCGCATTCGCGCGGCCCTGCGACACTCAACTGCGCCTATTCTAAAGCTCTCAAGCAGCAGCACCACCACTGCTGGCTGAGCCTTTTTTTTTTTTTTTTATGGCGCTCCCCTCCCCTCCCCTTCCGACTTGCACTTTTCGTGTATGGCTAATCCACACCCACTTGAATGCCACACTATACACAGTGTATACCCCTCATGATGAGAGCCTACTGTCGTCAAGGTCGTTGGGCTCGTCTAGCCTGCCTGCCTCATTGATTGGATCCCTGCCTTACCTTGCCCGTTGTCTCCATGCTGTATTCATCTCCTGAGCAAGGTAGAGGACGAGAGATTGAGTCTTTCTGTACCCGGGCTTTGCTTCGGCGATTGCTGTCCACAGGAGGATGCAAACCCCTCAAGTTGCCATGCTTGAAGACTTCACTTCATACTACCTGAAGCCCTAATTTTTAGCTCCAGCAATCACCTCAAGAATCACGTTGGACCAAGTGATTTTTCGTCTTTGACAGCTTCGGAAATCTCCAAGTCGAGTATCATTCTCTCGACTATGAAGAGATGTTTTTTAATAGAGAGGAAAAGGGCAGTGTCGAGCGCTGACGGCCAACCGCTCCGGCCTGCCATGCAACAGCGAGTGAGCTCGCATTCGTATGAGATACCGCACCTACACAGATTTGATTTCGAACCCTGCTGCACCTTTACATCGCTAGTTGACCACACTGCTACCTAGTACGGCTCGTTTCTTTCATAGCATCAAAGGCGTTTTCTTGAAACATCTCGCTCGAATCCGCCGAGTGGCCGTTCTTTTGAAACATTTTAATGGTAGTTCATAGTGAGCGCATAGTGAATATTCCTTCCTTCCCGAGGCTGTCCTGCTCTCAGCCACGAGCATTTTCAAGCAGAGACTTTTGACCCAAGTCGGGGGGGAGAAGGAAACAATCATGACGTCCATCAGAAATCAGTACATCTCAGTGCAACCACACAGCATTCAGTAAAACTGCCAGTGTTGGAGCCTGTTGTATCAGTTACGCTTGCTCAGCAGCAGTCCCCGGGGCTCTCTTCCCGTGGTGGTCTGTTGGGACCCTGTTCATTCGCTTGCTCACTTGGGTCCTTTCTTAGCCTGAGCTAAGCTGCCAAGTACTCATCTCCACTGGCAAGGCTCAATCTTTTGGCACCCCCCAGGTACATGCCCTCCTTCACACCCCTAGATTCTGTTCACGCCCCCCTTCAACGTACCCAGGCAGCTCTACGTACCCAAGTACTCTGTACCCTCTCTACTGACCCTTTCGACAACTTGTCCAGGATCACAAAGGGCCAGGGTAAGAAAATGATCGGCCCCCTGGCCTGACCATGCTACGTACCTGGCCCAGGAAGGGACATGGGTCACCATTCAGTCTTCCCTACCCTTTCACGCACACACACTCTTCTCTCCACGATGTCTCTAAGTTGAGCTCGGCGGGCCCATCAGTGATATTCGCACATTTATAAGCTCGATACCCTTCTCATCGTTGAGGCTGAGAAAGATTCATACACGCTAGTTGAACCAGATTTAGGATACAGCATCTCTACGTCTCTTATTTTATGGACCACGCTCTCACGTCTGACACATCATCCAAGAGACCTCTATAAGCATTGTCATCCCACTTACCATATATCAGCTCGGCTGGCAAGAACAAACCACTCTTCAACACTGTACGTGTAATCGGCCTTCCAACCCAAAATCTCAGTTTTCTTGTCTTTTTTTCCCTTACAAAAGCGAAACAACACCTGCGAGAGAGGATGGATCAGAAATCTGAAAATATATACTTACAACCATCCAGATCAAGGACCAAGGACCACTTGTCACTCGTGGATTCACCCCGGAGCCTTCACTTTAACATTAGTCGACCGGCATCTTCACAAGGGACCCACCCACCGGCTCTTATAAGTCCGGCCTCCCCAAGCTCCTCGACCTGTCCATCACCCCAATATTATCCATCTACATATAAGCTACCACGAAGTCACCCAGACCTTAGCAAGTCTGACCAACAACAACAACAACAAGAAGACTATCGACACCTTCTTCACAATACACCCACATTCCGCATCGATCCAGCACGAGACAACGAACCAGTTGTTACTTCTCCTCCGACGTCAACGTTGACATCCGCAAATATGAGGTACGCCGTGTCACCGATCTTCATCACTAACCACCAAAAGCTAAACGTTTCCTCTTTCTCCAGTGCTGTGGCAGTACAATACGACACCAGGGGCGATATGGGATACCCTCGCTCTTCACTCACATGGCCGGGACTCGAGCCAAACGTGGATTTCCTCGGTCACGACCTGATGAGCCACGCAGGTTCAGATGCCAGCATGACGCCTCCTAGCACATCAAGGTCATCAACATCAAGCCCCCCGCGGGGCATGCTTACGCCCGAGCAGCGCGAGTTGAAGAGGCAACGCGACCAAGCACGCAGGGAGTCGAAATCATCTGTTCGCGCGCGCCGGGCCTTGAGCACTACTTCCTATGGATCAACATCGCCACAGATGAGCATGGCAGAGTTCTCGACAGCATCGCCAATGCCAATCTACACAACATCGCCTTCGCAAATCTCTCTTTTGACTGAGCCTGTAACTACTGTTCCCGGATCTTCTTACATTCCATCTTATTCGACATCTCCTCTTCCAGAGCCGTCGGCCATGTTCACATCTCCTTTCCCTACGTTGTAAGTGTGCTTGCTTGTATCCAACCATAGAAGTCCGGGCTAACACATAGATTCAGGCCATCCAGCGGTTACATGGGCATGGAATACTCTAGCTTTCACCACCCACCACCTTCTCAGGGCCTCCATGGTCACTTTGCCAGTGGTCGCCCCGCTTCTTTGTCGGAGCCAAACATGCTTTACCCTATGCCACCCGTTCTACCATCAGGGGGCGGACCGAGCCAGGAGACCGGCCACGTCAGAGTCGTCCAGAGCAGGCCAAAGCCACAATGTTGGGAACACGGATGTAACGGTCGGCAATTTTCAACCTTTAGCAATCTGCTACGACACCAACGTGAGAAGTCGGGACAGGCCACGAAAGCATCATGCCCAAACTGTGGTGCCGAGTTTACAAGAACGACGGCTAGGAATGGTCACCTGCTGCACGACAAGTGCAAGTCGCGAAGGAACTCATAGACGACACAAGATGAAAATCTTCAGCGATACTTGACCTTTACGAAGCATTTACGATAAAGCGTGTGTACAACTACGAATTTGGATGGACGGACACCAAAAAATGGGCGATCGTTTCTTGGGACTATTCTCTTCGGCTTTTGTTTTCAACCTTGTTTTTTTGTTTTTCTTTTGACTTTTTAGACCCCCTCCAAAATTCTTCTTGGGGATGATTATAACCCCTTTTTCACTTTGGAAAAACCCGGGTTTTCTTTCTTCATTTGGATATATATATCTATATATTTTCTGGGCATTGCTTGACTCTTCGGCGAAAGAGTAGAATCACCAGTGGACAAGGCATTTCCGGCGTGGAGACGGCGTATATACCCCCCTCATGACCACGTGTTTATAGGTCATGGCATTTTCCTTTGTTCTCTCTCGCCTGGACACTATTCAACCTTGTTGGTTTTATATAGCTACAATAAACATTCGCTCGTCATTCGGGAAAGACTTTTCAAACTTTTTACGCTCTCCTTTGCACATTTGAAAGAAAGAAACTTGGCCATTTTTTTTCCTTCTCTCTCTCGGATAATGATCAATTTCTGCCCCGAGGCCTTGGAACCACTAAAGTGAATGATCTGCACGACTACTATATTCGTCCACCTGTTTAAAAGGAAAAACTAGCCCTACGCATCATCATTTGTATCGACGGCGTATGCTAGTGCGTTCCCCAAGCGAGAGAGCGAAGCAAAACAAGAAACAGCGGCCGCGGGCCTTAGAGGCGCGCCAGTCCAAAGCCCGGAGGGTTCCAACACAATAAGAGGTTAGCAACTCTTTCGTGATTGGGTGACGACACGCAACTAAGCTCCAAACTACATCATTCATTCCAGGCTTCACAAGCGGCCGCTACCTAATTACCTCCTTTTTAATTACACCCGTCACGCCGTTTTTCTGCCTTTATTTAAGCTATTCGGACCAACTAAAACTACCTGACCCTTCATTCTAGCTCACCTGCCCTAAAAGAGCGTACCCGAACAAATTCCCTAAAGTGTTCCGGAAACAACCCCGGCCGCGGGCAATACTGCTGCTTGTTCCATGGTGATTTTTCTTGTCTTTTGCTATCCATCTCATCTCAAGTCGTCCGGAGTTTACCCATTTTCTTCTCTCTCATGTTTCCATAATGACGTTGGTTTTGGTCATGTGCAAGGTGGATTTTTTTTTTTTTTTTTTTTTCATTTGTACGAGCGGTTATCTCGATTATAGCGTTAATGAATGGGTTGCCATGCAGAACCTAGACGTCCATCACTGGCTGTCAAAAGACTTCTACCATTTAACTCTCATGTTGGGCCTGTCTAAGTCCTGGCCTCCATGGCCCTTTTCCTGCGGGCTCGTTAAACAAGCCAATTAGCAAACGATCTTGTTATCCCCCCTGGACCTGCGCCCGGACTTATACAACCTATAACAAGTCTTTTCCGGGGCATGCAGAGGCCGAAAACCCGACGAATCGCACTCTGTCTTTATGATGCATTATGTTACATTAACGCCTGCCCGCGGCAGGATCAGGAACACCAAGAGTGCCCTTAGAGAGACAAGAAGAGCGTGGGGGAAATAGAAAACAATTGGTGGGAAGACGGGGGGAAAGGAGAAGAGGGGGGACGTGGTTTGTTAGAAAAAAAAGAGAAAGCTACATCATTGTCGAATGACTGAATGGCATTCTTTCTTGTCTGTCTAGCCGCCGGGCCACGAGACCATTCATCGCTGCCGCGGTTCCCGGGGATGCGCCATCCGTTCTGTGTGGCGTTTTCTCTACAAACTGTCGTCATAATGCCCAAAAAGAACAAAAAAAAAGTATGCCCTTCCAAGCACACTCGTGCTCTTCAAGTCTTTTGACGTCGAAGTGAGGGTCTACAATGCCCACGGCTATTCCCACAGAGGGCTAGTTCAATAGGATCTGTTATTTCAAAACGTTTATTCTCTTTTTCCTCCTGCGAGGGCCTTCCCCCAAAGGCCATGGCGTGACTCCAGGTGCTATAGATAGATAGGGCACTAGATAGCGGGAGGAACAACAAAGCCTCGGGACCCAAAAAGGCCCAGCTGGATCAGCAAAGTACTACACAGAGATAGGCCAGATTTTATTCCCCCTCATCCTCTCATCGTGACTTGCATTGAAAACGGAAGCCTAGAGCAACGGACGGCTAGGGCAGAGAGGCAAGCAGGGGAGGGGGGGTTTCTGCAATGAGGAAGGAAGGATTTCTTGTGATCATCGCCCGTTTTCCAATTCGGACCAGGACGCCGATATGATATCTGGTTTGGGAATGGAGGAGGGGGGAAACATCCTCCAGTGGTTGACAAAGATAGCACACGAAGAGAAGAACCCAATGAAGCCAGCATCTTTTTACACTTGAAACAAGCAAAGCCACTGAGAAAAGAGGCTATTTTGCGTTGCTCTCTTTTTTTCTCCCCGTCGTCGACGGCACCGATGGTAAGCATATTGTTCTCTTTCTTCATTCGGTCCCGCAATCCTTACCCGCTCGGCGACCATTTTGATTCTTTTTTAGTCAACGGTGACGGGGTCGGCGAGCCATGTGGATTTGTTTCCGATTAAGAGGATTCAAGGCAAAGGCATGCATGCATAGATGAAATGATCGATGATGGCTGCAGGCGTGACAACGGGAAAAGAGGGGATATGGTTTGTGTCTTGTGTTTTGATCTTTCTTTCCTCTGTGTTGCACAGCCCATCTCCCTGCCAGCGCAGCCAAAAATAGAATACCAGCAGGCTGCAAGTATGTTCAGTATGGTGGTGGTTAGTCAAGGTATGGTAGGTTGAGTTAGGCAAGGTTGGGTTAGGTAGCGTGTGATGGGCTGTAGCCTGTCTGTCCCCCAGAGTCTCCGACAGAGTGGTCAGTGGCTCGGGGCGACTGGGGGGTGGGTGGGAGAGCGACAGAGCGCAAGTGTAGATCTTTCTTGGGAAAAAAAAGAAAAGCCAAGGGTGACCCAAGACACTTGACCCCATCCCACCCCCCTGGTTGATGGGAGGGGTTATTGCACATCACCAAGTGGTATCCCAAGGTCACATTGGGAATAGTATAGTAGTGAAGCCCTTTAATTGCGGGACCGGGAACCTTACCTTGACCTTGCGACTTGTGATGCTTGACCAACCCCCCTCCCTGTCTTCTTGCGCTAGAGAAAAAGGACCGGACCCGAGAGACTGACGCGACTGAAAGTGAACAACTCAATAGGGCTTAGTATACGACCCAAGCTCGGACTCTGGGTCTTTCAGGGTGGGAACTTCCTAACCAGGACTATAACCAAGAACCCTTGCTCGGTCTAACGTAGCTGGGGGGAAACTCGCTCTCAGTCTTTTCGTCTCTGTCTTGGGCCACGGCAGCGCACAAGGAAGCGGGCAGACATCCGTTGAGTTCATAAATGAGCAGGGTAAATCGCGGGAACGAGTGACCGATGATATCCTGGAATTCCACCAGATAGGCCAGTTCTATTCTTTGGTCGTCAGACGTTTCTTTTTGTCTTTTCTTTCATTACCCCTTCGTCGTCAAAGCGAACATTAGCTCGGTGAATATGAAGCAGCTTGCTCTCCGCCGCAATCTATCATACCCATCAACGACATGGTAGGCCATGTCTTGATAGGTATCCGTGTGTTGTTCTCGTCGGCCTCTCTTCTCTCTCTCTGTCTTTCTTTGGACCCTGTTACCGGTTGGGGACAAGGGGAGAAAATGATCACGAGGGGCAGGCGAAATTTTGACACAAAAAAATGAAGTCTCCAAAGGCCAAACGTTATGCGGAGACGAATTTGTTTTGAGAACTTGACCCAATAGGAGCATGCTCCGCTCAGGGTATGGGAACGGATTTTCCGTTCCGGCAGCCTTGATGGGCTGTTGGGGAGAGATTCGGAAGCCATGGCCATATATGACGGAGCACCACTAGGGCACACCCCATTCTGCGAACTAAGCGACAGCCAAGGACAGGCCAGGTCGTGCTGTCCTTCATTTCAGCAAAGACGTGTCGCTTTATCGCCAACCCTCCAAGTAGCGAGCTGGCGGCGAACGTGGTCAGGGAAGCGACCAAAGCAAAAAAAGATCATTCTCAGCATCAAATCACAGCAAAGATTACACATGATCATGTTCGACTTTGTGTCACTCTCGTCAACGACAAGTCGTGGAAAGCAATTAATCGGCTCTCGCTTACGGCCAGCGGCAGTTAGCTTCCGGTCACCACCACCCCGGGAGGATTCGACATCGGCGTCGGTGCCGAAGACACTAGTTGGTGTTGTTGTCGAAAGGTGCCGTACATCATTGTGCCGGCGGCATCTGCAAGTCAATTAATAGTCTCCGCGGACGGGCCACATATAACGCGTTACTTAATTTACTGGGCTAGGTTATTCACAGGTAGGTCGAAAGAAAAACCCAAGGGCCCGGCGATCCTGGTCTACTTGGAGAAATGATAGGCTGAGTCTGTGTCACGGTTACTGACGGTACCTACCCGTTGTCGTTTGATGACTACGAACACTCCCAGCCCACAGTGGAGCCTCTTTCAAAGGCCAGGACATTAAAGTATCCCGATACTTGGATGAGTACTTGCACACGCTGGCACAACATATGGAGTCGAAAACCCACATCATGGTGATCGCATCATAGGACCGGCGATTGATTAAAAACACCAACGCCGATATCAATCAACAATGTCTGCCTCCTGAATTTGGGGGCCAATGAACCACACGATTTTGTCACGCCGCTCCCTCCATGTGCAGGTACGAAAGCGACGCAATCAGCCCCTGACTATACGTCTTCCGATTGGCTTTGGCTAAACGATCTGCTAAGAGACTGGTTCAATCTGAGCTAATGCTCTATACAGCACTTCGTAAATACTGGGAGAAGATTACATTATCGCAATATTCGCGCCCTCAACCTCTTTGCTGAGAAGAGTGTCTCATTATAGTCGAATAAGCAGATGACACCGAAAAAGGGACTTGGACCCTACATGGAGTTGCGCAGTCGCCAAGGGAAGACCTATTCTGCCTATTCATGTGCATCACTGAGACCTTATCATTGGCTGGTAAGCACAGTCATGTCAGTTTCTCCTCGGGAACCCCAAATAGTCGAAATGGATGCCATGTCGTGACTGCTTCTCCGCCTCAATCTAGAAAAGGTCCCAAACTCGATACACACATCCAGGTGATAGATACCTTACGAAATGCACTTGGCTCAACGCCCCTGAGACCAATGTATGCATGCTGACTACTCCAAAAGGCGGAGGACAGGGATTTCGCGCTGCCTCGGTGGGCCGCTGATAGCTGCCCGTCGGTGCCGCCTTGGACAATGAATCTATTCTCCGATATTCGTCGTACGGGAGTCATACAGCTCCGCCATTCAACGGTTGCGGCGCCATGGGAGTAGCTCAGTGAGCACCAAGGGGCGATGCAATATATACTGTTATCAACTCAAAAAAGTCCGTGTGTGCGTCTTGTTCCAGCCGTACTGAAGCTGCTTCTTGCGATGCCAGCAGGCCTTTGGGCTCAGTGCCCTTCTCTGGCGAGTGCTGAACGCTGTCTTGCGCTTTCTGTTAACATTGCCAGATTTCATCACCGAAAAGGCGGAAGGCCGACACTTTTCCAAGTCAAACTCTGCCTTGCCGGCTGCCCATGCAAATGCAAATCATGTCATGCGTGCAGGACTCCAAATCTGGTGTAACAGACGGCCGTTCCAGGTAACTGGGTGCGGTAAGCAGGCCCCCAACTTGAAGAGCGCATGTCAGAAACAGCCATTGCCATGGATGCCGAATGGGCAAGATAGAAGAGTTGCCTATCAAACAGGTACAACCACACACCCCGACGCCCATTTTCTGACAATCTTGCACTTCAGAACAATGTCATGGTAAGCCATGTCAAGATAGCCAAAGCTGCCCATACAATCATCCCTGGCGAAAAGTATGGCGCCTGTCGTGTACTGTGCCGTGTCCTACAAACGTGCGGACTTTCCAGCCTCGGGCGCTCGCTGCTGAAGATTGAGGCGTCGCCGATCGCAGCAATTCAGCCGGGTGTCCCGACAATGACCAATCAATGGCCTCAAGTATTAGGTTTTACGCACCAGCCATGAACCAGCTGCTGCAATGACTGGGAGCTTGCGCAATTCCCTGTTAACACGCAAACCGATAAGAGTCGAGCCATACATAGCATACTTTATTAGCAAATCGTTTACAGTCCCTCTGTGTAGGAAACCCGACATGAGCCCACTACACTGCACGCAAAGTAAGCTACCTTAAGCAAATCTACAATGCAATGACGAAACAGTAGTACTGTGCTTACAGAGTACCGGCGACCTACATACGTTCGCTGCCATCTGATAACCCGGGCCGGTCAAGCAACGTTGGTGTGCGACTATCGACGGGTTCTCGAGTTCCCGGGTGGGTGGGGAAGAACTCAGTGTGCATGGCGTTCTTCTCTCAGCCATGGTCTACGAGCGAGGTAGGCAGTGTGGGAAGCACGACATGGACTAGCTATGGGATACTCAAGTAGCTGAAGGTATTGCTGAAGAGCGCTTCGCCAAAGATGCAAGTATCATCACTCTCGCCGGGCGCACACTTTGGACTGAACCTTTTTCTCAGCCTCGGTCTATGTGATGGCCTACAGCATACGATTCCAGTCAATGCCTGCCAGGCTTGCCACGAGGTCTACGACATGGAGGTGGGTTACACGGCTGATTTGTTCTCGATGCAGCAGAAGCAGCACTCGGTCTTCTGGAAGTCCAGCAAATCTGACGCCCCCAAGGACCTTGCTTGGCTTACTGAATAGTTGGAGCCAACCAGGGTTCTTTTGGAAAAGGACAGGCACGTAGGTAGAGAGTACGCAAGCAACGACTATGTGCACTGGTACACAACTGAAGACTGAAAAGACCCGCTACAACACACACACGCACACACGCGCACATACACCCCCTCTCTTTTCTCAGTCCAGCCAGTCAATCTCATTCTGCAATAGCTTAGGGCTGACTCCAGTGGCACGGGTCGATGTTCCCGCCCATCTGCTCATTGTCCAATTGAACGAGGCCATGACGTCCCGTCGGTATCCAATATTCTGCTACGATTGTGATGGCAGGCGAATGAGATGCTCGGAACGCACCCCGACGCCCCGACTGCGTATCTGCTCACCGTTTACCTCATGAATGATATTCAGTGAGTGGGCGAAGAATGTATGAAGCGGCCGCGTGTGGATCCTCAGCCCATTTGTGTGTAGCACGTCTTCATTGGCCTTTTGTTAGGGTGCGTTACATGGATGAGTGCACCACTTATATCGTACACACTTGTTACTTGTCCCTAGGGTGCCGATTGCGAGGTTCTGGTCAGTAGCTACCCCTCCCATTATTGACGGAGACTTTTTTTCTTCTCATGTTTGTCTCCCCTCAATCGCCTAGGTCTGCCCCGTACGTACGGTGGCCTTCAGGGCCAGTCGCCTAACAGGAACCCGCTGTCTGATTCGTCCCAGCACAAGACACCCGTCTAGTCTGCTCGCCCAACCGGTGGACTTGAAGCCGACTTGTGTCTCATTGGTCAGTACGCGAGGCCGCATACCTCTATTTGCTTATTTGAGCCAAGCTCGATGGTCTCTTCGAAATTGCTATGGATCTATCAGACCCCTCGTTCTGCTAGCTTCAACAGCCCGGAAATAGAAACAGGCAATAAGGGCAGAGTTTGATAAACCAGTAGAATACCGTGCAGAGCGGGGGGGAACTTCTTTCCACTACGATACGTACTCGTCCCTTCAAGCTTCCGAGTGGCAGGGGGAAACTTTGAATAACCTTTGGGTCTAGGGATCAACCATGGTGTTGAGCCGTTAGTGGGCAGATGCTTGAATTGCTAGCTACCTGGCACCTGGTGTTACCTGTGAGGGCCTTTCCTATCCCCCAAGTCGCACTCGGTTCAGGTCGAGGCCCGGGATACACGGGGAGCAGGGAAGAGCCCTGAAATGCCCCTTTTTTCTCGACGCACGCCAGTACATTGACTTCAAGTGTGGGGTTCTGGACAAGTACTGATAGTCTCACACCCATAGCTTATTCTTCTCCTTTGTGCCAGGGAAAAGGGCTTAGTCGGATCGCTTACCCAGTAGGCGCCATAGACGCGCGTGGAGAAAGAGCCTACCTAGCTTGGAAATCAGACGAATCGTGGCGTGGGCGTGGCATGGGCGTGGCATGGGCGCGGGCGTGGACGGCCCCGAGAGCGACAAGTCGCAACCGTTGTGAGCTTAAACTTGCCCACGTATGTCGCATCGACTCTTCTATTCTCTGTGCGTTCCTAGTCTATCTTGATGAGTCTTGACAACCTTACTGCTTTGCGGCACAGGCAGTAGGGGAGAAGAAAAAGGAAATTATGATGGCTGCACGTTTGATTCTATAGATAGCGAACTTCGTTAGACATTGCCAAAACCGTTTGTCTACCCTGGTTGCACTGACCCGCTCGTTCACCTGTCCCCTAACTCTGCTCATACAAGCGTGTGAGAAGTACCTTACTGCTCAACATTTGTTCCCTTCAATGCTGTCGCTGCAAGATGACCTAATTCACAACATTGAATCATCTGCCCGTTTGCCAGAAGTCCCCACCTGGGACCACCTGGCCCCACCCTCTTTGTTTTTGTTTTTGGCGGTGCATTTTCGGCCCCCAAACCCCAGCCAGCATCTCTGAGCCAAGCATCACGACCGAACCTATCGCCATTAGACGTCAAACAAGCTACATTAGCTTGCCTCGAGAAGGGGGGTCCGCCGCAGCAAAGACGAAAATAAATCCTGCAGCAGCACGTGGCAGTAGCTGACAGCCACCATCAGATGCAAACCTGTCCCATCGCGGCAGGATCATGGTGCCGCAAGACTAAGCTGGACTGTACAGGACCGGGCAGGGACAGGACAAGCAAGACCTGACCAGACTCTGACTGCATCAAAGCGGCGCGTCTCCCAAAGTACTGCCCATCGATATCATGGCGACCGACAACAGGTGGAACGCGGGCAGGCGACGCGTCTTTCAATCCGTCTTCCGGACCTCCATCTCACAGCCTACGCCCTACTCCACCCCCTCGGCGCGCTTCCCCGAGAAGGGCCAGCCGTTCGGTGGTCCGCCGGTTCGCGAGCCACGGAACTGGTCCGGGGCTCCATCACCGGACTTTACAGCCTCGTCATCCTCGCCAGAGAGTCGCATGGTATCAGACCAGACGCGTTATGACAGGTCCTGGCACGAGGTCACATCCCGTATCGCCCTCCCGGCCTCGGTCACCGTCGAGGACTCGTTTGGGCCGCCTCCCGACTCTCAAGATGCCCTAGACGAAGACTTTGATGAAGCTCTACGCAATGTCCTGGATCCAGCCTTTCGCCTGCCACATGCCACCTTCATAGAAGATATTCTGACCTGGCATACGCAGCAGGTCAGGCTGCATTTTGTGAACCACGTGCTGGCTCTCCTGACCGTCTGTGATGGCTACGCCGATCAGACTCAGGTGCTGTTGGGGAGCATGCGAACCCTCGAGGCTGCCAACAGGCTCTATCACTATGGCCTATCCGTCATCATTCGGCCATTGCCCCAGGACCAAGCAGACCGCTATCTCACAAAGTTTCGACGAGATCTACACGCCCTCGTGGCCAACTCCATGTCGGAACCGCTCACGGACGCGCTGAGGAATGTTCTCGGTCGGCTCATGGCTATTGTCCTGGGTGTTGATGTACAGGCATCCAAGACATCGTCAAATCAGGTTGACGATGCCAGGAACGAGATATTGCAGCTGGTGGAATCTCTGTCCAAGTTAGGTTTGACCGGAGAGAGGTTTCAAGTCCTCTTTGCCGAGCTTCTTGACAGGATCATGGAGGCATATATCATTCGAACCTATGCCGGCAAGTGGAAGTCTGATCGAGATATTGGTTCGACGACATCAGCAGACGGCCAAACTCAAAACCGGCCCTATTGCATCAGAGAGCTATCGAATTGGATCGAGAAGGATTTCGCCTGCCTCGCAGTGGAAGTCACCTTTCACTTGGGTGATGTGCAACTCGCATGGACCGAAATCGATTCGTGGAAGAGCATGGCAATTGCGCGGTTGGCAAATTTAAGAATTAGCGAGTTATTCGACATGGTCATCAATTGGCCACATAGCGAGGGCGGTATCAATGATTTGCGTTACACTGTCACTACATCGGTGCGACGTCTTCGACTAACTGATGTATTCTCTTCTGACTTGGAGAAGCGGCTCCTACACCCGGGTCGGTCGACACTGGACATTCTTCGCACATATATATCCATGATCAAGGCATTTCAAAAGCTCGATCACTCCAGAGTGCTTCTCGATCGCGTCGCGTCTCGACTTCAGCTATATCTTTGTACACGTGAGGATACAGTTCGAATCATTGTCACAAGCTTGTTGACGAGCCCCAAAGATGCCAATGACGAGGCACGCAAGACGAAATTGGTCGAACTCGTGGAGTTGATGCAGGATCCAGACCAAAGTCGTCTGGATCGCCATCAGGACGAGTGGGACGATCTCTCCTGGGTGCCTGCGCCTGTGGACGCAGGCTCAAATTATAGAGGACGAAAATCAGAAGACGTGATCGGAACTCTCATTGGCGCAGTAGGAACACCCGACGTCTTTATCAAGGAATTCCAAGCCATTGTTGCGGAACAGCTGCTCTCGGAACGCGATGGATTCGAACAGGAAGCGGCTGTCCTGGCTCTGCTGAAGAAGCGTTTTGGAGAGTCCGCTTTGCAGGCTTGCGATGTCATGCTCAAGGATATTCAAGATTCTAAGAGACTGAATAACGTAATATACCGTGGCGCTATGAACAATACGGAAAAGGCCAAGCTGGAATGGACTACCCGCACAAAGATTCTTTCGAGGCTTTTCTGGCCCGACATGGGAGAGGAACGTTTCGTCGTACCCAAGAGCGTGGCTGTGATGCAGCAGGCCTATGAGGATCGCTTCGAGCATCTGAAGCCGTCGAGGAAGCTGAAATGGCTGAACCACCTTGGCCAGGCTACGGTTGAGCTGGAATTCCAAGACCGCACCATATCAGAAGATGTTCGTACCTACGAAGCGGCTATTATCGATGCTTTTGGCGAGCCTTCCAAGTGGGCATTTGAGGATCTATGGCTTCACCTTCAGATGGACGAAGACCTCTTAACTGCAGGTCTACAGTTCTGGGTGGATAAGAAAGTTCTGCGGAAGCTTCCCGGAGATGAGTACGTGGTAATTGAGCGCCTCGAAGATGCAGAGCAGCACATGGCATCTGTAGCACAACAGTCGGGCGCGAACACGGCAGCCTCGGCCGATGGCAGCGCAACCAGCCCGCGCAAGGCCAAATCCGGTATGAGCGAAAAGGAAAAAGCACAACGGCAAGTCTACTGGCAGTTTATTGTAGGCATGCTTACCAACTCCATGTCCCAAATGCCGCTCGGCCAAATCTCCATGATGATGAAGATGTTGATTGCCGACGGGTTCCCGTGGAGTAACGAGGAGCTCCAGGAGTTCCTTGGTGACAAGGTGGCTGACGGGGAGCTGGAGCTCACTGGCGGCAAGTACAAGTTGGTGAAGAAGTAGGTTGATGCATTCCCGGTGGGATGCCGCTGTCCTCCAGAGTTGACGAGGACTGGCTTGTGTCTATGGCATAGGACTGTCATGTGATACAATCATGGGGACAAGAGCCTAGTGCGTGGCCGATACAGCATGCAGTAAGCCCAGATGGGAGGGTTACTAGAGTATACATTGCCATGAACGATCCGTCCACTGCTGAAGAGTACGGTCATTGTCGGATTGAGCATAAAGTATAGTAGATACAACATAGTAGATACGAAGGAAGATACCCCTAGGCTGATGAAGAAATGCCATTCACCCATCCATGTTGCCAGATTCTCAACGTGCTACCATCGACCTTGTTGCCAAATTTTGCTACTCTATACCAATAGGTTATGTAGCAATATTTTCTAAGCCGTCTGGTAAATGGCGTGTTGGATGATTACCGTGCTTTGTTCAAGGCATGCAACAAATGATGTGGTTGTTCTGGGGAGCGCAAGCCAATGTATGTTTTCGACTCTGGATCGAAGCAGCAAGCGGATGACGGAGTCGCTTTTAATCCTACTCAGACACGGCATAATTCTTTGGATGATGTATTGATTGCTGAATCTACGGGACTGAAGCTTTCTCATCACTGATATGTATTCCACGTGCACCACATGTCCATGCTTGTATATGCCAGATCGATAACATCAATTCGTTGGTAAGTCCTTACCTTTGAAATGTGTATATTTATTAGCTCCCCAGCTGCCGTCGTCAAGAGTTCCGGTATAGGGGAATAAGTTCATGATTTCGTCACAGAAGCGATGAGTTGATCTCGGCCCGAGGACGTGGCTGAATCCAAGGACGAGGCACGAAAGTTACCCATAGAGCGCGAAGTCGACCGAGGCGCAGACTCGCCCATGACAAGACGCATTGATGGAGTGTTGTCAAGTCCCAGTTGGATCTCGGGATAGATGGCCATCACCCGATGGAATACTCCCTTTCCTTGGCCAGCGATATTCGAAAGCAGTTGGTTCGTGCGAACAACATGCAGTCGTCTCCTGTATTGTCTCTACTCGGTATCCGCTGGGCCTCTGCTTAAAGAAAAAAAAGAAAGATCGACGCATTCCAACAATTTCCTCTTGGTCTCCCGTGCTTCTCCCGGTGGTCTGGTGAGAGAGGGTTGCGGCGGCTTTGCGCAGGCGAGTGTTGCTGAACAGAGATGGCCGCGTATAAGGAAAAAAAAAAAGTGCACCATTGGATGTTGCTGCCGAATCCCGGCGAGGAGCTGCTCAAATCATTTCAAGGCAGCTGGGTATTGCCTGATTTGCGCGCGGCTGGTAACCAGCTTTGACAAAAAAGCCCAAGCTGGAGAGTAGCCACAAGTGGTTGCACGCGAGCCAGCAAAATTGCATCAGATGTCAAAAAAACGGGCGCTGAAAATAATACAGTGGCCGGGCACCACTCCCTTGTTCAAGGCACCAGACAGGCCGTCAAGCTCCCAAGCTCTGGCGGGGCTTTTTTCCGCGGTGACAATGGCCCTTTTCACACCGCATTGTCAGCTGATTCGTGTCTGTGCAGGGAAGATCGCTTTTTTCCATGCTGCGTGAATTCTTAAGGCGCAAAAGGTGCCACTTTGGCCATGGTTGCGAAATGATGAATCAGCGCTGATCTCATAGTCACAGAGCCCCCCAGCCGAGGTGTGCAGCGTACGTAGTGTAGATAGATAGCCCCAAGGTTAGATCGATAACAGTCTTGTGAACGCCCTGCCTGTCTTGGCCTGGCCTGCACTTCTTTTGTATCCTTTTCTTCACATAGCAGGGTTCTTACTACACAAGCATTGGGGCGGGCACTTACTGGGTTTTGCAGTAATGCGGCATTTTTGACAATATGGGAAAGCTTGACCCGTCTCGAAATTGATTGGCAAATTGACTGCACAATACCACAGCAGAAGTAATGAGTAGCGCCGTCGGCGCAATGATGGAAGGATGTGCTTTGCTGCTTTGCTTCATATGAATGACATGGGCGTCGGAAAAGAGTAGTGGTGCATCGAAACTTTGGGCCTAACGTCGCCATGTGGAAGAGACGATACTACATTAGTGGTAGGTAGGAAGCGTGCCGGCCTATCATACCGTCCAGATTTATTTCAGAGAGTCGGACGCCATGGCTGCTTAGATGCAGAGTTGGAAAGCAGTTGCCAGGCTCAAGTGCTCATAGGCGTGGACAAACATTGGCTCTGCTTTCCTGGCCGCCCGTCGCTGAATGAGACGATGAATGTGAGCGATAGAGAATAGCTCAATTCAAAATCATCTCGATCGGCCCGACAGTAAGGACAGCCAGCGCCAATTGAGTGACCTGCCTATATAATTGCTTATATCGACACAACGTGCCAGTCCACATGGGCAACAAGGTTGAGATCGGAATGTGAATGTAGAGCATCTGTAGAGGTTAAGTTTCGAAAAGCGGAGCGGAGCGCCGTAGAGAGGGGCATTGATTCCCATCGCTAAAACCCCTCTTTTTGGCTTTCTTTGTACATACTGCATCCGTCCGTAGAGGCCATGATACTGCCTACCGTCTTGGTAGATGTAATGTAGGTAGGCATCAGGTTTCACGTTCCTACTGCCGCCCCAGCCGACGTCTCGAAAGAAGCCCCAAAAGGTGCATACCTACGTTAGACAAGTTGCTCTACTCCCGAGTTCATACATTTACGAGAAATCTTGTTGACAGGAGTCTCCCCCAAGGTTCTGCTCCATCAAAAAGGTTTGCTTGGGTCATTTTCCTCTCTTTTATGTTGAGACCAACATGGACCATAGGAGGCTCCCCACCAATCACCAGCCGCGATATGGAGCTCATCCTTCCCGGAATGACAGGCAAGACTAATATAGCAGTCGACGAATGGGTCCTTGCACAAACTGTTCATACTTGCTCATACGGCTTACCAAGGCCTGGTGAATAGCCGTGATCCCTTGTCTAATTGTTGCAAGGCATGTATGTAGCTTCCCTGGGCGCAGAGATCCTCGGCATTGTGCCTTGTCGTTGATGGATGGTGCGCAATGCCTGCTGTGCTATGATGCTCGAGTGGGACTGTGCCGACGTCAAAGCAAGTCCATCAAGGTTCGTTCCAGAAGTCAGGCCATGGAGGCCATTTGAGAGCGCAAACGCAGGAATGGTGACGGTCGAAAATGCTATTCCGACTGCTAATGCAGCGCTTTTGGCGCCACGTATAAGCAGATAGTTGCTTAGCCAGGGTGAGCTAGGAGAGCTTTCGATTGATGGATCCCGGACTTCTCAATAGTGACACCCAATCAGGAGCGATTTGTGTCAACTGAGAATGGAGAGGCGCGAGAACAAGATCTGCGACTTGCAGAAACGACAGTGGATTCGGGATCAACTGTTTCTTCCGTATTGACCAGGTTGGTGCCAGCGACAAGTAGAGAGTCATCAGCGTCGAATATCTGAGCAGAGAACTTGCTATAGAGGTCTGGTCTGAATTGGACGAGCATACTTTAATGGTCATGCATCTCGCCCAAGACGATCAGAATTACCATGGGAAAGCCAAAGTCTGAATGATTCGCTTCGGCCCAGCCATTGCTGACGCTGGAAGGGGGGAATCCCGTTGAAGGTGGTGGTGTTGACCATGTTCATGCTCGATCCAGAAATGCAACAATTTGCTACGCAGGCTCCTTGATCGCTTATTGGGTAAGTTTCCGGGTGCGAGCATTGGGAATGCCTATAAGGGTATGTCGCTGTACGCCTAGGCTTTGGTGGGTTTGGGAGCTCGAGCCCTATTGAACAGGTCTGAAACCATTCATGAAAGTTTCCGTTTGATTGGAAGTGAGGTGACGCCCGCCTCCCGGTGCTTTGAGGAATCCTGGGCGCCGGGCGCCGGGCGACACGATCTCCACCAGCTGTAACTCGTCTCGGAGTGACTAGGTTCAGTAGGTGAAGCAGATGGTGGTTCATACGCATGCTTTTCTCGCTCTACTGCGCTTTGGATCCTCTCTATGAGGTGCTCTCAGCGGTGTTGCAACCACAGGCCAGGGCTACACCGATCCGGCAAGGAAGTAGAACCTAATACAGCAACACACCTCACTTGTACGTCAAGCCAAGTAATTTCTTTCGTATTCAATCTGTCGCACACACAATAATAGTTCTCGCTCTGAAATCGAAACGAAAAGAAGAAAAAGAAAATATGAAGAAGCAGAAAAGAAAGAAGTGGACACACGACCTAATGCGCGGCGAGGGACAAACATACATACCTTATATAGTTGCTGCTTACCATATAAATTTGGGGCGTACCACTAATAAGCTCTGAAGCAGGACGGATGGCCCAGTGCCCGCACTATTTTCACTTCTCTGCTAATCTCAGGTGAGATCTGCCAAAGAAATGCTGCGAGATGGTATTGAGATGGTGAGCAAAGACGAGGAAGACGGCTATATAGGTCAATGCGGGATAAATGAATCACAGGGGAATCCAATCATCTTTGGGTCCTATAATAAGCGTGTTCCTCTCTTGAGATTCAGCAGAAAATTTACCTTGTGTAAAGTAGATAGCTCGCCAGCGAGTGAGTGAATGGAAAGCTGAGCTCCCGAGATAAGAGGCGGGGCATGTTCCGGTTGTTCTTAAACACGGCTTGTTCCAGCGTACACAAGGGTTGGTGCAATACATTACTTACGGGTGGAAAGTGCGTGCGAAGGCTTGGAGGGCTGGGAAGATATTTGATCCATCACATGACCTTCCAAGACAAGGTCCCATGGGTCAGGTACCCTGGGTTTGGATCCCAGAAGAAGGACGATACTAGAGCGGGCGACTTGGAAGGCCATTCATCTTCTTTCTAGCCTCTCCGTGCCCTGGCTGGCTGGCTGGCTGTCCGTGGAAGACGGGCGTACTTGGTAGACAGGCAGGCGGGAACGGGGGCACTGACTGGGTAACATGCGAGGGGGTGAAGCTGGGAACAGGAAATCTTCAATGCCTGTTCCTGTCCGCCTTGACATGTCGACACGATGTGAGGGGTCCAATCCGACGCATTCAAAACAGGCACTGCACTGGCTGTAGATACAGCGCAAGCTGAGGAACACTGCATTGTGGAGGAAGAAAATGAAATGAGTTATGTGTCGAAGGTCCAAATTGGTGATCCAGGCCAGCCTGCAGCACATGTTCCCAGGCTCTGGCCGACTAGAGAGGGCGGCATAATTTTTCTGGGTCCACGTTGGCAATCGAGGGACTGTTTACTGCTTGTTGCTGGTCAGCTCCGGCTCCGCTCGATGCGAGCGCTATTAGTTGGTAGGTGGTATTTATGTATGGGAAGGAGAGAAGATTCGTGAGTCCGTTGGTTGATTGATTGATTCATCTGTCCAAGCTGCAGCCGGTGGCCTGGAGGTTAAGAGGCAGGTACCTTGATGCATGTATGTATGTGTATATATGTATGTATGTACGCTCGTAGTCTGTACTTACCTTAGGCAGTTCATGTTGCCTACAGCTGCAGCTAGCTGCTGCATTTACCTACAAAGGCAGGCTAGCGACTGCTAGGTAACCTTTGGCAAACAGCACAAAAAAGACACTGAAGGATTCATTCAATGTCCACTGGCACTCTTGGAACTCGTCAAGTTACTATACATGATTGGATGGCAAGCACAAGATAGGTAGTATACATAACTTTGTAGTATGCATGTGGTAGACACAAGCATATAATTTTTTTCTTCCGTCGGCCCTCTTTTCCATTCTGGCTCACTTTATCCCTCGATTGCGTACGACGAACGAGAAACACGCAAGTTGGCAGGCCTTGGTCTTCTCCCTTGATCTCGTGGTCCCTGTCCCCTTCCCATTCCCCTGTGCTGTGCTTGCCCGTGTGTGCAATTCTTAGCGGGCCACCCTTTGTCGTCTTGGCCCGTCGCTGCTCGTTCGCTGTCTCTCTCTGTGTGCCCCATTATGCGCCCAGCCATTAAAATGATGATACTTGGTTTGCCTGGTAGTTGGCGCGAGCGTCTGGCTGGGCTTATCTTACTTCTTTTTGGGGAGTCTTTGCCCTTTTCCCCTGCCATCTTCCTCCGTACTTTCACGTAAGCCCGTGCCAACGTGCACACTTTTATGATTGCCCTTCCGCAATAGCGCCTTCCAAACCCGCGACTAACTACCCATCGGGCTTGCCTCTCCTGTGAGATCATACGTCCACTCTCGGCTGGTCGCGCCGCCTGGTCGGACCGCCTAGTTGCTACTGGCCTTTTCTTCTTTCTTCAACCGTGGCCCATACTTGCATGCACACATCTTGGGACGGATGGATTGTTCAGGGCGTCGAGAGAAGAGGGAGGAGGAGGGGAGGGGAAAAAAAAAAAAAAAAGCCCCCTTGGCCCCAAGGCAGGTCTCAAGCCAGGCATTCCCGCTCTTGCTGCGGATAGGCACTCTGAACTGAGACTTGCTGCCACGTACCTAGTAGGACTGGACTCATTCATCCCCAATCCTTGCACGTACGTCTAAATCTATCAATGTATGTAAGTAGGCCGGCCCATCAAGCTAACGACTTAGGTTACCGTAAGATGTATGTATGTCTACCGTAAGAGAAGGCAGAAGAGATGTGCGGATGTGCGCATCCTTGTACATTTATTACGCTGCGAGCTCTACTCAACATGACCTAGTCTCCAGTATTATTGTCGTTGTACATACGCACATACATCTTGCTGGCCCTTTATTCACTCTCTCCTCTCCGCTGTCTGTCCGTCCGTCCGCCAGTCTACCTTGCCTAGAAACTACCCAGGTAGGCAATGGGTGAGTGAGGAGGGAGGCTCATACGTAAATAGGTCGGCTCGAATTAGGATCATTCCCACATTACATACATGCTACATGCCTGACAACTGACCTACATGAATTTCAATTGCTGCTCTGCGCCCGATCACTCACTTATCACTCAATTAGTCGCTTGCCTAAGACTAAGAGAACCCGCCAACGTCTCGTGATTCCTGTCCACACACACACACTCTCACTCTCACTTGCAGCCGAGGGAGACTTGAAGCTTGAGACCTTTTTTCTTTCTCGATTCCTTGTCTCTCCTCTTTTGTACTCTGGGCGCTCTTTCCCTCTACTTTCCCTCTTTTCTTTCCTTCCTCCTTCCCACCCTCCAATCCTCAGTGCCCAAACGTTTCTGTGATCCGTCGTCCTTTTTTCTTTCCTACTCCCAACCGACCTGTTGCTGTTGTTGCTGCTGCTGCTGCTGTTGCTGACGTCTAGAACGTCTTTTTTTTTTTCTCCTTGTCTCCTCTTCCTCGTCGCATCTACAACCTGCGGCTGCAGCCTGTTCTGTGTCTCCCTCGTACTACTGCGTAAAGCCGGCCGTCGTCCTAGACTACATACATACCTATCTGCCCTAGCTGATTCAAGCTGTACAATCAATACTTCCGTACGATCCCGCTTGCAAAAGTGCTGGAATAGCGATACAGTAGCATCCGTACTCAGCAAACAAGTACTACTTCACACAGCGGCCGAATCTACAGCCCAAAAGAAAAAAAAAATATCTACTCTTCATTCCTTTATTGACTTTTTATTTTCTTCCGCTCGGTCCGATGAGCATTTCTCTCCCCAGAGATTGTCGAGTCCCGCTTGACTCACGAAAGTGCACCCGTGACAGTCATTTGCCCACCCACATGATAAGCTGAGGAGGGGGGCCCTTGGGAGATTCGATTTACCCCACGTATGCAGCTGCCGCTGTCGCCGAATATAACTTGCGACTACTAAACCAACCCCCGATCCTCCGTTATTGCCCGCGATAGTCTCTTTGCAACAGCGGAATACAAGTTATTCGGTTACGGAGACGGCAGAAAAGGCTTTGTGGTGATCGGTTGTCCAAAGCGCAGATACAAGGCACGAATACTAGAGGTTCCATTGGATTTGGTGTCCTTCGACTGCTGCCGCCCAGCTCCCATGAATAATTGACGGCCTGCTGCCAAAAAGAGAGAAAAAAAAAAGTTAGTCGACGAAACCTAGGATTCTCTACAAGTGCTATAGTCTACGAGCTGGGATATACAACCACCAGGCAGGTTTGAAGCCGAGGTCTTGAGCCTCCTGCCTGTCAATCCAGACGGGGTGTTTCTGTGTAGAGGTCGAGGGCGACAGCCTCTAGTCCGGGCAGTTGCTCTCGACGAGAAACCATGGATCCCTCCGCAAGAAATTTTGTGATGCAAGGGCAGGATACAAGCTCTAATCGATTTGCTGCATCACCTCCTACTGCGCCCGTTGACCAGCAACATTCACCATGTCCGGCGTTGCGAGCACACAACCAACTTCCCAGCCTACACTCACAGATCAGTGGCTGGAGTGGTCCATATTACGACCCAGTCCATAACAGCCACTCCTGGTGGCCTCAGCACGGTCATCATGATGCCTGGCAGCACCACCACCACCATCACCCCGCGACTTATGTACCTCCCGGCTCACACCATCATTTTACACATCCATCATCCTCATTTACAGCTCCCCCAGGTCTTGTACCGCCTTCAGGGCCTTCTCAAATGCATGATCACCCGATTCCTCAATTTGACCTTGGGTATGGAGGCTACTTTAATAGCCGCAGCCACCATCATCAGCATACTCACAGTCACCCGCACACTCACATGAGCACCCGCTCACAGACAAATTTCACGCCGCGGCCACCGCCAATACCGAGCCTCGACAACAGAATGGATGCATTTGGAAGCCATCCGGCTAATTCAGAGCTTGCATGGGGGGCTAATCGATTACCTACCCTGGCGCACTTGTAGGTAACAAATATGCTAAAAACGTTGTTGAGTTCTAACTTGTTTTCAGATCTCCAACTCTCCCGGGGTACATGACTCCTAGGGAATCTTTGCCTTCAAGGGAGCCTGCGACCGCTAGGGAAGCCGCGGGATTTAGGGAATCTACAGCATCCACAAGGGCGGATTCCTCCAGCGAAAGACCGCCGACGGCATTGGAGAGGCACATGTGTATGTAATGTAATGATGGCTCAACGAGGCACAAAAGCTAATTTTATCCACAGGGCCGAATCTACCGGTAACTACAAATCAATCACCAACTACAAATCAGACGACGAGTACGGTTTCAATGCCGCCCATGCCGCAAAGCACAGGTAGACTTTTTTTTGGCGCTCGTTCGACAAGTCAAGCATTTGAAGCCGCAAATAGCCTAGGAGATTCGCCTAGTGATGACGATTCTGAATCTACTGACACGGCCATGATCACATCCGATGTTCTCGATGATATATCCGCAGTCGCTGGGCCGCGGGCCAGAATCAGAGCTGCTCAGATGATGAGAAGAGCGGGAGTACCACAATGCGGGCGAAAGGTAGCGTCCAAGAAAGCGATTGCATCACTAATAAGTGTGGTGCCAGAAGATCTTCCGGAAGAAGAAAGATGTAAGTCATGTCGTACTGCTTCCTAATGGTGACGTTCTTCTGACCAGTTGTTAAGCTTGCATTATTTGTTATAATGATTACGGAGTGGAGACTCCAGAAGGGATTATTGAATCGCCTCTGCGCTTGCCTAAATGTCAGCATGTATTTGGCGATCATTGTATTAAGAAATGGCTTGCCGAATCAGACAGCTGCCCGTATTGCAGAGACAAGTTGCCTTCCGAACCTCCGACCCTGCACCATCGCCAAGAAGCTGTTTTCCATTTGATGCGCCAGCATGCGTCGCGCCATGGAGAGTCGACAGATGCTGGAGGTATACGAACTCTCGGCGCACACGCATATCAACACCAGGATCGCCGTTCGCCTCCCATTGATAATGGAGAACCCCGTCGAAGACCTCGTTGGCGCAATCGCCCAAGTGCATCAAGTGGTCGATCAAATGCACCACTAAACCCCGTGACAGGTTGGGCCCTTCATGTATGTTCCTGTCATTTTTCTTTTTGTCGTCGTCCACCTCCGTTAACTTGAAATAATCCAGTATGACACGGATCCGACCAGATTCGGCCCATCCAGTCATGGCCAGAGACATCCAATGGGCCCTCTAGGTTCGCCAATGACGCCCCGTCTACCAGAGGGACGAAACAATCAAGAGAACAACAATCCACGCTTTCCGGGGGTGCATTCGTTCCAGTCGAATGAGCCTGGAGCCAGGTTACCTTTTCCTAATCCATTGGGAGCGACTGAGATGGAGACAGCAATGGGCCCGAGTTGGGCATCTCCGCGATCCGGATTTCTCCCGTACGCTGTTCGGAATGGCCCAGACAATACTGTTCACCAGAACGGAGACAACTTGCCTCGATAATTGCACGGCTTGGCGCAAACCTGGTTCTCATTTTTCTTTTCCAAACCTATAGACTTTGCATTTGGACTCTTTACTGAGAAGCTTGCGGAATAATGAGGCGTCTTTTCCGCAAAGTTTGGCAATCTTGTTTGCTGCATTCAAGGGGACTTTTCCCCCTTAGGGCATTGAGGGCGTTTTAAGTGAGGTTATAATCACTGCTTCAAATCACATCCACCGCACATCAGGAAACTCGGCATGAATTTGAAGGGAGGGTGTATTTGGCGTTGTGACATTTTACTCGTTTGTGCGCAGCATGCACGCATACTCAGAACCTCCTCTCATTGCAGAGCATTTCTATCTCTTCCCAATTATGGCCATCATCAAGCTTTGAGCCATGATAGACGTCAGCTCAGCCATCTATAGCGTTGATTTCTAGTTTCCGCCAATAGCTGCTAATAAATAAATGATATCAGCCATGTTTCGAGCTCATGCGGCATTGTGCATCATCATCAATCATGCTTAGTAAATCTCAGGAGGTACTCGAGTGGAGGAACTCGGGCTTCCTCATGAGCTGAGTTCGCGCTTGACTTGTGGCTGGTTCCAGAGAATCATCATATCCTACAGATGTAGTTTGAGGTCGGCACATGACAAGGCCCAAGAGAATGGATATATGTTTCATTGATGTAGATGGAGCCTGGAAGAGCCATTGTGGCGTTACTTATACACCGGGTAAGGGCGATTCGAGACTTGATTTCAATGTTTGTCTGCAAAGAGGTTTGATATTCCTTGCATTATAATGTTACTCCTGCCCTGCTCTGTGAGGCTTGTTGCAGCTCCGAATATCGGCTCGGATCAGATCCTCCCGGCCCCGGCCCCGGCCCCGGCCTCGGGCGGTGGGAACTGAGACTGAGCACCGTTATTGTCGGTGGCACTGCCGGACATGGATCCACTTATCGGCGCGTCCGGCAAGTGGAAATGTCCGCACCAAGATTCAATTGTAGGGAGACTCCATCTACGCTTTTTTCTCTGCCATAGATTCCGATACCTTTTGTTGTAACTGCTTGTGACTTCTTTGAGTCCCTTTGAAACAACTTGATTGTTTTATTGGTTGACTCGAGCTTCTTCATGGTGTGAGGTGGCTGACTAGGTTTGTGAGCTTGACTGTAGGTGACTAGCAAGAGTAAGAGGTGGTGGCTCCAGACTGTAGATTACAGGCCGAAGCAGCTGGGGTGTATTGACTCAAAGAAGCGTAAGCAACTGGGTGGGTGCCTCGGAGTTGATGTTGGGATGGGAATAGACAATCTGGGGAGCGGGGAGCCAAAGGTCAGATTTGCAGCAGACGCAGGTGACAGCTCCAGGCAATCTTTCAATCGATTGATGTTGGCAATTCGATATTAACCATCCAAAATGGCTGATGCGGCAGTTGCGGATGGTTCCCTTGACTGGAAGCGTTGACAAATAAAGTTTGTTCTCCTGGCCGAAGAGGTTCTGCGTCTCCAGAGCAATGTGACGTCGTGGCGCATCCGCGCTGAACATGCGATCTGGCCTTTGCCTTCTTCTCTGCGGCGCTCTCTTCCGTGTCAAACTTGTTGGGAATCATGTTGGCCAGCTTATCAATGACAGTGGAACGATTGTTGTCAACATCGGTGAAATGTGAAGGTGCATCGTTGAGTCGGTCTCGCCATGTAACCAGTTTTGCGCCCCATCCTTCATGAATGTGACCGAAACAATGCAGTCGTGGCCGCGTTCTAGCGACTGCTCCGAACAAATGAGGACATCCTGCTCTGGTCCTCGAGTCTGTATAATCCAGCACTCCCAGAGGAGGCCCGTGACTAATAACGATATCGGTTCCTTCTGAGATGACAAAGTCGTGTCCGCTTTCCGGGTCATATTTGAATCCCCATCCTCCTTTGCCTGGTGTAACCGGTGTGGCGTAAACTCTCAACCTCGAACCATTAGCCAGGGTGAACTGATAGTTGCCTTCGTCGAGAAAAACGATACCGGCATCTTTCGCGTCGTCGATCAGTTTCCTTGCCTCTCCAAAATCTCCGAATTCCCGTTTGACCAAGTCGTCGTCCAAATGCTCGGGGGCCTCCGACAGCCTTTCCATGAAAGTCGGTGTATCCAGAGTGAAGTCGTGATTGCCCGCGACGACCAATTTGAGCGGCGCGTCCAGCCGCCGAAGAAGGTCCAGCGTGGTGCGGAATTCTGCAATCTTGGATTCTTCAGTGAGGTCACCGCAGTGTATGGCGACATCTGCGTACTGCGGTGGAACATCGAATTCTTCTCCGTGAGTGTCGGAAAGAATGAGAACGCTTGTCTTGACTGTGCTGGTCGCCATGGTGAATGCGCTCAATTGAATTCATATGACGAAACAAGGGACTTCTTGTGCTCGGAAGCAGTCGGAAGAGATTTATGACTTTGTACTGCTGACAGAATACTGAGAATCCTTCAATCATGTCTGGAGAGAATCGAGGTGATCGAAGCTGTTGTAATCTGTGGAAGAAGGAGAAATGAACGAAGATGGGAAAGAATAAAACAAAAGACGGATTCTTTTGGGAAGAGCATTCGCCTTTCCTACTTATTAGACTCGAGGCTAAATACTTTGCTACCCTGACAACCATAAGGTTGTCAGAATCCTTAATGCTGAGGAAAAGTTAGTTGATGGAGGCCTTGATGAGTCACTTTATCTTTTCTGAGGCTTAAAAACTATGGGAAGGTATAAGCGCCTTCAAGAAACATCATCTTTGCCGATGACCAAACACAACTAGACGACCTCCCTGTTTGCAAATGCGTTCCGAAATAGTCACAAAGCCCTTGTGTCTGTTGAAATTGCAGTAGGAAGACGGAAGCAAGTCAATGACCTGCGTGTAGTAGATTAGATAGTCAATAAGGGTTAAAGGGAAGGGAAAGGGGGAAAGGAGAGGGAGGAAAAAAAAAAAAAAAGGCAACCTGGCTGGGAGATGTACAGGTGTGTAGTTAGACAGGATCGCCATAACTTGCTAAGGAACAGGAGGTCAAAAACAAGGGCATTTGTGGCGCTCAACATTGAATGATTTGAATGCTCCTCTCATGATAGAAAAGATAACCACATGTCACAGCTATCTACTGTTGTGGCAAGGTAAAGCGAAACTTGTCCAGACTTCTGATTAATCACATAATTCAAGCTAGTCCCCTGGTCAGTTATTTAATTTTCCTAGTATCAATATCTGAGAAGGACTGACTAAGCTTTTCATTCAATCCTTTGGATTTGGGCTTGCACCTCAGCCTACTACCGTCCTGATGGCTTGGTACCCTTCTGTCGGTACCTGACGAGATCAGATAACCTTGTCGACCTTCCACGTGTGGCTTGGTTTGTCGATTGTGGCTAGTGTTCAGGTTTGGCGGTGCAGACCAATCTACCGGCCTGCTTTCTCAATTGTCCTCTGGGCCACACACCGGAACTGAACAAACAGACCTTCATAACGTATGCTGGTCTACCTAGCCATCAGTGAATCGACTCAAGAGGGTGTCATGGTAGCCGGACAAAGCATCGCGTGCCCACGCCTCGTCGAGTATGCTCGTTCAAATCCGCATTGATCAGTTGTCAGCCTCAAGAACGTGGTATATGAAGAAATGCTCTATCATGTATAGCAAGAGCTTTGTAATCCGTCTGTATGTATTTTACGTTCTTTATTCTATAGGTACCTAGTTTTCGTTTTTGCTCAAGCATCGTGATAATTATTGTATTGTATCGCATTAAGTAGTAGCTATTTTCTTTCCAAGAATGTTTTTCTTTGTGTTTATTGATTTTTTCCCCTAGTTTTCTTTTCCCTTTTTTCTTTCTTTTTTTCCTTTTCCCTTTCTCGCTCTGTTCGATGCATAATTTACGAGAACATTGGGACCTCCTTGCGAGGCGACTGAGAAACCGGTCGGCGACGATTGGCTTGATAACGACTGATTTCGGTGAACCAATTCGACTGATCAATCTGCTTATGGATCATTTACCTCGATAAATTTTTCAATCTAATGCTGCTTCTGCTGTAGATGGTAGGTATTGGCTCGATGAGACAGTGTCATGATGGGACAACACCATGTCTCGCCTCCTCACGCCAGGTGCGATATTTTTATCCAATGCATTTCTACAGGCCAACGGGTGCTTTAAATCCAGTTTTAGGCTCATGTTATTGAATTGATGAAAACACTGCCACCGTCCACAGCATTCGACAAAAGTTTGCGCGGCCGATGGAAAAGACTCGCATCTAGCCCGTCTTGCCTGCATCGCAAGCGACGTCGCACAAGCCACGGAAACAAGAAAATGCCACCTACTAGACGAGGAAGACACAATCATACGAAAGAATCTGCAGTATGCTGAAGTCAGCAGCATGCCCCCAAAAGGCTGGGCTCTGGAACTTTCGTTTGGGGGGGGGGGGGGGGGGGGGGTAGGGGGTAGGTGGGTGTTGTT